ACGGAAAACTGATTTGTTCAGTCGAAGAGAACTCTAATCGAATAGTGGACACAGTCTAGGGGCAATCCATTTAGCTTGGGTCATTGCTTTGCCTTTGTAAGTTTAAGGCAGGAGCCCAAATTGTGGGGAAGTTGCTGAGTCGATTTTAATAACTTGATATTTGTCCATATTGCGAGGTCAATATCGTGTATCGTTTTTGTGGTTGGCACTTGCATGGCGTTTGCAAAGTCAACATCCAAGCTCTGTTTGCATGTCCCGTTTGCGAGGTCTATTTGCAAGGTCGTCAGAGTTGTCTGTTTGCAAGGTCGCTAAGGTCAGGTCAAGCCTAGCAGAGTCTGTTTGCAACGCTCGTTTGCAAGATCCGTTTGCAAGGTTGCCAGAGTTAAGCCTAGCAAAGGGGAGCCCATGACATCAAGTGCCAGGCCAGAGTGGTTCGTGACCAAACGAAGGGCGCATGTATCAAGGACCGATCAAAATGAATAGCTCGGCCAAGAATGGTAATTCTAATCATGCCAAGGCAGATGGAATTAAGGGGCAATTGAGAGGGAGATTTGTGTCGAACAATGGGCCGAGCTAAACCAACACAGAATGTGGTGTTGGGCTGAGTCAAACCATCACGGAATGTGATGTTGGGTTGAGCCAAACCAGTACGAAATGTGGTGCTGGGCCGAGTTAACCAACATGGACATGTCCTTGAGTTGAGCTAGACCTTTGTGATCTTAGGCATCACGCTGAAGAGAGCCATGTTTGGGTTGAGAGAATAGGCCAAACTGTGGGGTGGGTCGGATACGAGGACCGAGCAAGATGTGCAGGGGGTCGCGGTCTATAGTTGAGATGACGACTGACATGCCGAGACCAACCGGTCTAAGAGTGCAGCAGTGTTGAGGCATTGACCGAGCACGAAGTCGACTGGGGAACTGGCGTGATTTAGCTCGGCACGAAGACATCCTAAGCTAGCATTCTGTTGATGTTGCAAGTGATTGTTCCGTTGAGGCATTCCACGTGGTCCAATGGCAGAAGAAGAATCCGCTCTAAGCACACGTCAATACTATTTGGCGGTTTGGCCAATCTGTTTGGCAGTATTGACGCGTACACATGTGAGGAATGGAGAGGGCAGTATAACCACGCGTCCAACAAAGGACAACAGAGGTAGTGCGTGCACAATTTGGGGCTGCACGGCCAGCCTAGACAAGGAGGATTGAGCAGACTCTTGAGGGGTAAGAAAACTTTAGTAATTATTTCTCTGTAGTGCTCGTCTTCTCCAAGAAAGCTAACTTGACCGTCGGAGGGATTTTCTAGCAAACCACTTGCTAGGTAGCTCACCCTTGTCCTGATGGAGCGAGTCGAGCTTGGTAGCAAGGCGTATGAAAGATGATGAATATTTCTCTCCCGTACAGGTTTCTACAATTCTTGTACTATGGTTTGGAAAGTAAAACTTGTACCCTTTGGATTTTTCAGGGTAAATTATAAATTCTAGCTTCCGCTGGACAACCCACACATGCAGGTGTCTTAAACTCGGTTTCCTTCTTGTCCATAGTTCAGGAGTCTTTGGAACTGCTTTACTAGGAACCCCGATTCAATATATACATAATGGTCCCAAGTGCATGCATCCACAATGATTTGGGTAGTGTGGAATTATTTAACATACTCCTAACCACGTCCATTAGTGTACGGTTACACCTCTTGGCAACACCATGTTGCTGTGGTGTTCCCAGCATAGTGTATTGTGCACAAATGCCATACTTTTCAAGGAGTTTAGCTCATGGGCCTGGGCATTGTCCTGATTCATCATACCTTCCATAATATTCACCACCTCTATCTAATCTGACAACTTTCTCCTTTCTATCTAGTTGGCTTTCTACCTCACTAATGTATACCTGAAGGATATCCATTGCTTGAGATTTTTCATGCAATAAATAGATATAACCATAGAGTGAAAAGTCATCTATGAAGGTCATAAAATAGCTTTCTCCACCAAAAGATGGAGTGTCAAAAGGCCCACAAATATCGGTATGGACAATTTCAAGAAGCCCTGAACTTCTTGTGGCACCTTTCTTGGTATGTTTGGTTTGTTTTCCCTTAATACAATCCACGCACACATCGAGATCTCTAAAATCTAGATTTGGAAGAATCTCATCCTTTACTAATCTTTTTAACCTTTCTCTAGAAATATACCCCAGCCTTTTGTGCCACAGGTTGTAGGAATTTTCATTCATTAGACTACGTTTAGTACCAACATTATGATGCAGGGTAATGAGTGTTTCCGCAAATTGGTTAGCAAGCTTTAATTTATACAAACCATCACAAAGTACACCAGAACCAACCAAAGAGGTATACTTTAAAGACTGAAACTAAGAGTAACCATCAAGATCAAGTTTAGACAATGAAACTAAATTTCTGGAAATAGAAAGAACATAAAAGGTTTGTGGTAAATCTAAATAATGACTAGTATCTAGAAATAAACAATAAGTCCCAACAGCTTCAATTGGTGCTTTGACTCGATTTCCCATGAATATGAAGTTTTCACTGGGGTTTATGTTCTAGATTGAAAGGAATCCCTGCATCGTATTGGAAACATGAGTAGCAGCCCCAAAATCATGCCACCAAGTATTAGAAGGAACTTCAGTTAGGTTTGATTCAAAACATACATAAATTAAATTATTACCTGTCTTTTCGAACCATGCCCTACATTTAGGACAATCTGTCTGAAAGTGTTCAGTTTTCTTACAGAAGTGACACTTGTTTTTGTCCTTTTCCTTTTCCTTTTCCTTCTTATGGTCCTGAGAATTTTGAGCAGGCTAGTTTGCCTTAGGTGGTCCACTATGCCCTTTTTAGGCTTCCTCCCTTTTTTTCGGCACCTTGATTTATGAGATGAATTGAATGTTGTCCCAACTGCTTAAGTCTTACTGCTTCTTGCATAAGCATACTGGCCAATTCATTTACATCCCACTTATCCTTCATAGTGTTATAACTAATTTGAAATGGCCCATACTGAAGAGGCAAAGAATTTAGAACAAACTGTATAAGAAAGTAGACATCCACATTCATCTCCAAACTGGCACTGCAAATTAATAATTCATGCTCACTACGTTAGTGCTAAGAGTTATCGCTTCCTCTCTCTCTTTTCGGCACCTTGATTTATGAGATGAATTGAATGTTGTCCCAACTGCTTAAGTCTTACTGCTTCTTGCATAAGCATACTGGCCAATTCATTTACATTCCACTTATCCTTCATAGTGTTATAACTAATTTGAAATGGCCCATACTGAAGAGGCAAAGAATTTAGAACGAACTGTATAAGAAAGTAGACATCCACATTCATCTCCAAACTGGCACTGCAAATTAATAATTCGTGCTCACTACGTTAGTACTAAGAGTTATCAATAATTGACAATTAGTCAAGATAAATACATGTTTAAACAATTACAAACTATATTACCATGATCTGCCTTTGGGATAATTTAATGACATATTATTTAAGAATTATAGTGATTCCCTTTCCCCAATAAGACTAGTTGATAAAATATTCATAATTAGGTAGATCTGTTACCTTTGGGTATTTATTCCAATATCAATTATGAATACTCATCCACTATCCTATTCTAATTAAATAATCACTTAGAAGTGGTGCACCTTTGGGCCAACCTAATATCTTTGTAATTAAGGAATTGTGATTTGCAAAGTCATTATTTTTTAAGACTTGGGAAGAGTATTAAATTTCAATTATTTAATTTGATAGCTATGTGTCATTCCGGTTGGGTCACTTTGGCAACTACCAACCATATCATAATATAAATTCAAATCAAAACAATAACTTTACACACACATTATTGATTAATAATTTATTCACAATTATTCGTCATCATAATCATAATAATATTAAGACATAACAAATATCAACACAATTCATATTCTATGTCACATAAAAGTACATACTTTTGTACCACCCATAAAAATCAAGCTTATACATAATGGTGATAATAGCATGACAATGAAATAATCTTTAAAAGTTACAATTGGATTTGTATGCAGCGATATGCTAGGTACTATAACTAAACATCACAATAAAATTTTAACGTGCTTTCTCACTGTAAAATTTTAAATATAATTAAGCAAAATATGAATAATAATGATTCATTATGTAATACTAAATACCTTTAGGCATTACTAAATTAAACAATACAGTGTTGCCAAAAACAAAGCATAACATTATTTCATCAAGATAATGGATGCCTTGGTCAAAATTCATGTCGAATCCATTAGTGTTAAAATAATGAATTTATTAGAATTCATTCAACAAAAGCATTAGGTGTACTATGTAATAATATTTTCATATGTTATTGGGTTTCAGATCTAGTTTCGTAATTGATAATTATATGTAGACAATCAGTCAATGCTCTTGACCATATGGGTATAAATTTATATTGGCAATCATATTTCGTTAATTTTATTTAATGAAAAATCAAGATAATTCTTGAACAAGTGCTTTGATACCATATGTAAATACATAATGGTGTTATGCATATAACAACCTTCATAATTCAAGATCATGAACTATCATGATTTTCACATAAATAACTTTACATATCTGAATCCATTACTGCAGAAAAATTTTAGAGTTTCAGTAGATGATTAAAAATAAATCCCAACGTTTAGGTTCATGGAAAAATGGTTTCTCTCTCTTAATCCTTTGTAGAATAATGTGTATTTAGAATAATTTGATGGGTAATATGAATGTCCTTTTATAGGTAGAGAGGGAATCAGTTTCCCCGTTCAACACTAATTCCACTTGCCTATCAAAGTAGGATACTTGGAAACCACTCTTTTTATTGACCAATTAGATAAAATCTTGTAGCAAAAGATATGGAACCATAATCTTGTTGAATCTCTAATTCATATTGCCATGTCATGTGGGTCACCTCAATGACTAAATAATTAATTTAGTCTTACAATTCCATGAGACATTTTATTTATTCATTTATGTATTTTTTCTATTGTAGTTCCTGGCGAGCCATATCCTATAGAGAATGACATCCCTCTTGCTCCTGTTCCAGCTCCATCTGTGGACAGTGTTGTTGCAGGTATTGCTAGTTCCTATATGAACTGTTGTTGGTTAATCATTCCATTAAAACTATCAACTATTAGTCTACTAGTTGCTTCTTTCATGAGTGCAATCTTATTTTGAAACTGGAAAATAGTTCTTTTTTGGGTGTATATATGTATTTACTATTTATATTTATTGACAGTTGCTGATTGATGTTAAAGTTGAGTGATGCCTGAGGCTTCATATCAACTATTGTGTTGTTCACAGATATAAGAAAAACTAACATTTCTAGAGGCATCTATTTATGAATCAGCTTGCATATCTTCAAGCCAAAGAAAGTTGCTAAGCTTACTTGAAAATCTGGAAAAAGTTGTCATTGTGTATTTCCTCATGTTGTATCCTGTCAACAGGTGGCAAGGATCAAATATAAGTTGTGACAATAAAGAAGTGAAACTTACGGAAGATCCTCATGTTAGGAATTATACTGAGGAATTTTTCCTGTTGTGGTTTCCGTTAATATTAAATTCTCAACTACTCAAGCACTATAGCTAATTCACGGCTTTAATTTCTATTCCAATTTTCCATGGAATAAAGCTATAATTAGTAATTTAATTCTTTATGGGACATTGCAATCTCTAAGCTTTTCAAATGTTTTTTTCCTTCTTTATTTTTCTTTTTCTTCAATGAACGCCTTGACTTTTATATTAAGCACCAGCCGAGGAGCTATAATAGTTTCAGTCTAGTCACCTGTGACTGTGAGGACTTCTCTATTGATGTCAACATGCACTGATGTCAAGTTAGAGTGCATTTTGATTCATTCCATGAAATGTGTTGAAAAATATTTATATGATGAATAATAATATTTGTTTTGCAGAAAATCAGGCAAACGGGGATCATAAGACACACGTGCCATATGGGTGGATCATAGGGAGTTTGGGGGTTGGTCTGTCTCTGATCATTCTAGTTGTATTTATTTTTGTTTCCTTGAGGTCGTCAAGCTGCTTTGATAAATCCCGTGGAAGTCATGCAAAAGACCTTAATGAGAAAATTTCTCACAAGTTTCATATCCTTCGAAACACAAGTTTCTGTTGTGCTTCTGGGAGGTATATCTGTGGCAAATCTGGAGATTGGAAGCAAAGTAATGGGGAATCTAGTGATCGCCAGATAAACATTCCAAAAGGTTTGTATTTTGGATACCACCAAGGGTCTAAATTGTATTAATTTGAAATCTGATCTAAAGCTGTGGGCGCACTCTATAGTAAATCATTTATTTATTTTTTATTCATCAAATCAAGTATTGAAAGGTTGTATCCATGCTAAGAACGAAAACTTATGTGCTCTGTATGGTTTACTGGAATGGAATGAACATTCCATCATAATATCCATTCTCACTTTGGTTCATCAAAAAATGATGGGAAATGTATTACAAATGGAATCATCATTCACTATTGTATGGCAATTATTCCGTAAGGAAGCTAAGGAATGGCCATTGTACTTTGTAGATATATCAACATGGATTTTATATTCCGTTTGGAAATTAATGCTGAGATTAGCAATTCTCCTGCAGCTATAGATTCTGATGTTTTTGATGTGGAGAAGCCTGTGGTTTTCACATACGAAGAAATTCTGTCTTCAACTGATGGTTTCTCTGATGCAAATCTTCTTGGTCATGGAACATATGGCTCTGTGTATTATGGCCTCCTCCGTGACCAGGTTAGCAACTTCTATCTACTTTTGTCCTGTTGATTTTGTTACATTTTTTGGAAGTGATTTCCTCATTCAGATAATAGTTATATAATGTTGAATCCTTCTAGGAAGTTGTGATCAAAAGAATGACTGCTACGAAAACTAAAGAATTTATGTTGGAAATGAAAGTTCTTTGCAAGGTTCATCATTCAAATTTGGTAATGCTCATTTTCCTTTTAATTTCTTGTCATAATCTTCAGAACTTCAAGGCTTTGACTCCTTTTTCTTGCTTTCATGTTGTCAAGGTAGAATTGATTGGTTATGCAGCAAGCGAGGATGAGCTTTTCCTTATTTATGAATATGCACAAAAGGGTTCACTTAGAAGCCACTTGCATGATCCTCAGAGCAAGGGTAAGATCACATCTTTATGTATTGTTAATATATATTTCATACAGTACTGTCCATGTCTAGATGGTATCCTCATAGCAAGGTTAAGATCACATGTTTATGTATAGTTAATAGATATTTCATTTATTATTGTCTATGTCTAGATGGGTGCAACCTTTTGTATATCTAAAAATTTGATAGTCATTTCTTTTTGAACTAGACATTGATATCAGTCCTCACACATTACCTTTTAATAATTGTCGAAAAGGATCTATTAACATGGTATTGATTTGTAATGAGTACGAAAAAGATTACTCTGTGGCATAGCACTGCCATTTTATCTGAATTCGTTGTCATTAGTTTTAGTACGGGTAAGCATGGTCTGGTTTGGTTCGGATTGGGATAAAACCAGGAGCAATATGCTGTCTACGTTTCCATAAAAATTGGAACCAAACCAATCTATTTTAGTCACGGAATCAATCTGAATCAAACCATTTAAACACGGTTCAGCTCGGTTTGAAACCATGGTTTCACATAATCTGTTCACAAGAAAAATCATATAACATTTACAAAAAATCATAAAACTCCCATCAAACATAATATTGTTCCACCATTAACTTAAACAAACATAATATCTAGTAAATAAACATATTGTTCAACATGTAGCAGCATAAAACTCCCATCAAACAAACATTTTGTCGTGCCAACAACAATTAGGGTAGGATTGTATGCATCATGGTGTATGGTAGGTATATGGTTTACATTACATACAGTCTGGTTCGGTTCCAATCCGGAACCGATCCTCGAAGACTGGTTCCCAAATTTTCCAAACTAGGACCAAACTGCGGATTAAAAAAACCAAACCCAACCTGTCGGATTGGATTGGACCGGTTCGGTTTGCGGATTTTTCAGTTTCCTTGCTCAGCCCTAAGTTTTAGGCTTTAGTTCACATGGTACAAAAGTGTGCCTGGCTCGCTTAAGAGGCTCATAAGATCATGCTAGGCCTAGGCCCAAAGTATTGGCTGTTTCTCTGGTGTATCTTAGGTTTGGAACAGTAGATTAAGTCCAGCTTCATTCATAGTCAATAATCTATGAAGCACGGATACTTCAAAAAGGGTGACGTATCCGTATCGGATACTTATCGGATACCGATACTCCTCGGATACTCGCGGATACGTATCGGATACTTCTTAAAAGTTTCGGATACTTCTTAATTAATTTTTTATTAATTTTGAAGTATCGGATACTTAATTTTGAAGTATCGGATACTCGAAGTTACATATTACTTATAATATTTTGTTTAGTTCTTTCATAAGAGGAATATAGTGAGAGTTAAAGTAATAGAATTTGTCAAATTGATGTATCCTTGTTGTCTCTCTCGCTTTCTCACTCTCTCACGTTTCTTCTCTCTGCTCTCATTCTTTTTTTGGTGTTGGTATGTAAGGATGATGTTTAATTTGCATTTGCATTTGCATTTGCATTTGCTTTTGCTTTTAGTTTTGGATGTTTTATGAATGTTTGAGCACTTTTAGGTTAATAGGAATCCCTCTCTTTATTTATTAATTTACTTTAAGTTTTATTTTCATGCATATTACATTATTAAAATTATAAAAAAAAAAAAAATTTATGAATGTATCCCCACTGTACCCGTATCATATTTTTTCAAATTTTGACATATCGCCATATCCACATCCCCATATCACCATATTTGTATCCGTGCTTCCTAGGCTATCATTAATGACTTAAAAAAGTATATTTGCTGAAATTTTTATTTAAGAATGGTTTTTTGGCTTTGGCTTTGGCTTTGGCTTTGGCTTTAGCTAAGGTCTTGTGATATTTACTGATGAAGGGGAACAAGTTGAAGCTATTGACCTTGAAGACTCTTAGTTTTGTAGGAATCTTTCTTCTTTATCAAGTTGTCTTTTGCTTTAAGTTTTATTTTTATGCATACTGCATTACTAAAAATTGTTAAAATAATATTTTTTTACGAACGTATCACCGCCGTACCCGTATCCTAGTTTTTCAAATTTTGTCGTATCGCCGTATCGTATCGTATCCGTATCCGTATCCCGTATCCGTATCCGTTGCTCAGCCCTAAGTTTTAGGCTTTAGTTCACATGGTACAAAAGTGTGCCTGGCTCGCTTAAGAGGCTCATAAGATCATGCTAGGCCTAGGCCCAAAGTATTGGCTGTTTCTCTGGTGTATCTTAGGTTTGGAACAGGAGATTAAGTCCAGCTTCATTCATAGTCAATAATCCTTCGCTTTTATTCTTCATATGTTTCAAGGAAAACTATTTTAGTGCTTGACAATTAGTTAATTGTATGTTAATTAATGTCCATGCAGCAAAAATGTTGTTGCTGTTGCTGCTGCTATGTTTAATTTTGTTTCAACTTACACTAAAATTCTTATCACTTATTCTTAGAAAAACAGTATAGAGATTTGCACTAAGTTTTGCCAATGATTGGTGCATAGGTCATACATCACTTTCTTGGATCATGAGGGTTCAGATTGCACTTGATACTGCTAGAGGTCTGGAGTACATTCATGAGCATACTAAACCTCATTATGTGCATCGAGATATCAAGACAAGCAACATCTTACTGGATAGTGCTTTTCGAGCAAAGGTTTTTCTCCTATTTTACATCATTATTTTATTTTTATTTTTTGGGTTGAGCGTATTTTTAGATTAGCGCATCTGATTATCTATTTCCTTTGCATTTAGATTTCAGATTTTGGGCTGGCAAAACTTGTTGGAATAACTAATGAGGGAGAAGCTTCAACTACAAGAATTGTTGGAACTTTTGGTTATCTGGCTCCTGAGTAAGTGAATAAACTGTAAAATGAGACAGCAACAAGTTTCTGAATTAATCTTTGGTTGCTTCACTCTTCTGATTCTTTACAGATACTTGCGGGATGGCCTAGCCACGAAGAAAAGTGATGTCTATGCATTTGGTGTTGTTCTTTTTGAGATGATATCAGGAAAGGAGGCCATCACACGAACAGAAGGCAGTATGATGAAGAACCCTGATAGACGTTCATTGGTATCCATTGTAAGTACTACTGCACATCTAGATAAGTCAACTTTGGTTGATACATAACTAGCTATGATTACTCATGAAATTAATTTTATTATCATAGTAGCTATTGATTTGAATTGGAACGTTGCAACCTTGCATGCCGACAACTCGAGTTGCAAGTGAAAGTGAGCATTCATAGACTGTATGAAGATCATTTGTTATTTTAAAAGAGAACTTACAAGAAATTTTCATGCAAACTCGTGTTCTTGTGCATTTTAATTTTCTTGTTAAAAAATAAAAGCATGGAGACAGAGAGAAATATGTGAAAGGGATATGGCTTGGAGATTGTCGATAAGAAGTGTGTCCAATGGCTGGGAAAATTATATGAAGAAAGTGATGTCCAAAAGATTTGCTAATGTGATACCTTTGTGCTCTTAATATGTGTAAAGGTGGAGTGAGACTGCTTTCTCCTATGCAGAATAGCTTTTTATCCATATATATGTAGTTATCATTTATTAGTTTCCTCCTTTTCTTTTTATCTATTTATTTATTTATTTATTTTTTCGGTTGGGTGGGTGAGGAGTAGGATGTTTAATAATGCATAGGAAACCACCAGAATCAAGTTTTAAGCCTTTTAACAGTGATCTACATAATCCTCTATGACTAGCAATCTAGCATTTTATGCGTAGAATGAAATTCTTGTAATGAAGTGAAAAATTGGGAAGTAGGTTTAGATGGTAAGATGGGGCAAAATAGTGTAAACAACGGCAAGACACTTGGAACAACTTTTATAGCTTATACAATACATCTATGTCTCGTGGATTTGGGGAGGATTTAATTTTGCCGTATTCAGTAATTAATAAACTCGAAGAATGAAGGATCTGAGAGGCTATAGATTATACTTTTCAATGAAATTGGAGATCATATTTAGTTAAGGAGATGATTACAGAAATAAAGTTTGACATGTCGTAAGTTTGAGTTTCTACGATATTCATGATACTGATAAAGATCCCTAAAAAATCCATACTACAATGCATGTTGGAGACCATTCCTTGATCATATGGGAGATCTTCCGTGCTTACATAGGAAATACAAATTTTACTTCAAATTTTGATGTTCAAGACAAGTCCAGATGGAAACTTGGTTTATCACCGAAACCAAATTTTACCATGATGTAATTGAGATGCAAAATCCTGAACATATTAGCATGTAGTTTGTCAATGACTAACGGGAATGGAGACTAGGTTTTATTGGTCACTGAAATGGAGAGTCGTGAAAATGTTGCATAGAGTTCAATGGATTTGCAGTTTAAGAATATGACTTTGGAAGATGACTATATAATTCTAGAATAGATGGTTATATCCTGAAATATCATTGTATTGTCAGGACTTGGTAGTAAAGCACCCTAATTCTCTGACCTTGCCATGCTGTGATAAGCCACTTAAGGACTTAGGCTGTTTATAACACAGTTATAGTGTGGGGTAGTTTTAAAATTTTACTTTTAATTTTAGCAAGTACATCAATTAAAATTTTAATTTTTTATTTTTAAAGATCCAGTAAATTAAAGCTTTCAGACCAAAAATTTTCCTGTTCCCAATTTATATTTTCTAAGACAGCCCTTACCCTTGGACTTGCCCATTCGAAGGAACCAACTGTGAGGAGGGTAATATTATATGGGAGGCAGTTTTTAGGTGTTCATAAATTGAGGTGCTAAAGCATATGTAAAAGACAAATGGAATTAACAATTTTCGTATATCTATAACTACTGCTAGAGGTCTGGAGTACATTCATGAGCATACCAAACCTCATTATGTGCATCGAGATATCAAGACAAGCAACATCTTACTGGATATACACAGATGCTCACATATTTCTGGTCCATAACCTTTTCCAAAAGATGGTTAAATTCTGCAAGTTCGTATTCTTTTTGACAAACAAGCTATTGATATTATATAGAAGCTGATAAATATTTTCTATGTTTTGCTTCGATTATTCAATTTTTCTGTTACTATGAATTTTCTTCACCTCTTATTTCTCTGTTTTTATTCACTCCCATCGTTTGAGCATCTTACTTCTTACTGCTGCCTGATGCTTGTGAAATTGCACAGATGCTAGCAGCTCTTAGGTGCTCACCTGACTCCACGAGTATGTCAAGCATGAAAGATCACATTGATCCTAATTTGATGGATTTGTATCCCCACGACTGTCTTTCCAAGGTAAAATATTTTCTATTTTCTCATTTGACAGTGGAATACCAGTGTTTTGTATTTGCGTGGGAAATTGAATTGCCATAGTGGCCTTGAGGGTAAAGAACGATAGATCAATGATGATAGTCTATTTTCCCAACTATTATTGAAAGCTAACGCTCTGTTTGGTTGGGGGATTTGGAAAGGGAAAAGGAAAAGGTAGGTGAAATATGAATAAAATATATTTATATTTCATCTAGTTTCACATGTCTTTTCCTTTTCTTTTTCCAAATCTCTTTCCAAATTCTCCAATCAAACACAGCCTAAATGACTGTATGGGAAGAAAAGGTCATGATTCACCTTTATTCTCTCCATTGACAGCTTGAGATGGAATCTACCTTATGGTGATAAAGTGGAACTAAACTACATCTAGTATATAATCAAATGAGAATTGATGCCAATGAAATAAAAGAATGGTATTCAATTTTCTAGTTAATGTAGCTTCTGATCTCTTCTATCCATATTTGATGTAGATGGCAGTATTGGCGAAGCAATGTGTGGATGAAGACCCCATTTTGCGCCCAGATATGAAGCAAGTTGTGATTTCATTGTCACAGATCCTCTTGTCCTCTATTGAGTGGGAAGCAACTCTTGCCGGGAACAGCCAAGTATTCAGTGGGCTTGTTCAAGGAAGATAGGTATCGGAATGCTATTTTAGACATTCTCTTGTTCTTCCTCGACACCATCAATGTCTCTCACGCACTCTTATAGTTGTGTGCATAGTAGCATAGAGGTTCAACTGTAATTGTCAATATTGTGATATTCATGCATCATGTGAATTGTCTTTATATTTTTCTTTTCTTTTTTTTTTAATTTTTTTTTTCTTTTAATTTTTTTTATGATGTATTATTTTTGAAGTTGTTTTGCGAGAATTTTTTTTGATGCAATGATGGAGCTGGCCGGAGCTTATGAGTAGCTTGTTTTGAGAATTGCCTTTCATTTCAAGTTTTGCTTTTTAACCCCGTATTTACTATTTATTCTCTGTGGTACCAATTCAACTTTTAAAGATTTTTGCAGCCATGAACAAAATGGCTACGTGAATTGGATTTAGGATTCTGCCTCATGGTTCGAACTGCTGTTCAGTACGATGCAAGTGGAGAATTAGATAGAAGAGTTTGTTGAGTAGTTAGTGGAGTTTATAGATTTAGTTAGTGAATGAATGGAGTTAGTTTAGATGTAGTGTAAGAAGGTACAATGTATCAACAAAAAGATGTCAAATTATACGGAATTTTGTGTGATAATTGATATGTTTGCTCTATGTTATCTCTCTCCTTTCTCTCCAGAGATGGCCTTAGGATTTTCACAAAGGGGGAAAGGGGGCGAATATATAATATTAACAAAAATATTAGATAGAAAGTATGGATTATAATATTAATTTTTTATCGATATATAAAAAACAAAAATAAGATGAAAATATATGCAAATAAGCATATATTTTTTTAGGAATAATTGGTGAAAAATCCAATTTAAAGAGGGTATAAGGGAGTTTTTATTTTCACATCCCATTTCATCTTTGTTAATGCATTTAATGATATTTTGTTTTATTATAATTTTGTCCTAAAATAAAATTATCAAAATGCCTTTGTCTTCTCCACTAAAATCCTAGCTTCCTAAACCTAGCCCTAACCACCACCACCACCACCACGAACCACCATTGTTACAACTCTGCTGTTGCACGAAATTACCATTGCCACGAGCTTCCCACTATTGCAAACTCAAATCCCAAACCTTCCAAATAAATTAATTATTAAATAAAAATGAAAAAAACTTGTCACTAAAATCCAGAAATCTCACTCCCCAAAATCAATTCTTACCATCCAAACATACCCACATGAGTAGATCCTAGTCAAAACATATATATATATACTAAAAGAAGCAAATATAAGAGAGAGGCATATTTAGTAAAACATGACTAAAAAGAAGCAAATATAAGAGAGAGGCTTTGAGGTGCGCAATGAGTTAAATATTAAAACTCACTTGAGGAAACTTAAGAAGAGGCATGAAAATGAGTGTGTGAAATGTAAAGAAGGAAAAGAAAAGAGAAACAGGAAAGAAAAACAAAGAATAAGCAACACACGAAGCAGGGTGAGGCTTGCAATGGTGGCTGGAGTTCACAGTGGTTCATGGCAATGGCAGTGGCAGTAGTGGCGAGTGGTGACTAGGGTTAGGTTAGATTTGAAGCAGTTAGGGGAACTCAAATCCCAAACCTTCCAAATAAATTAATTATTAAATAAAAATGAAAAAAACTTGTCACTAAAATCCAGAAATCTCACTCCCCAAAATCAATTCTTACCATCCAAACGTACCCACATGAGTAGATCCTAGTCAAAACATATATATATATATATATATATGGAGTTAAAAACAATAGCGAACCAAAATATTTAGTAAAACATGACTAAAAGAAGCAAATATAAGAGAGAGGCTTTGAGGTGCGCAATGAGTTAAATATTAAAACTCACTTGAGGAAACTTAAGAAGAGGCATGAAAATGAGTGTGTGTGAAATGTAAAGAAGGAAAAGAAAAGAGAAACAGGAAAGAAAAACAAAGAATAAGCAACACACGAAGCAAGGTGAGGCGTGCAATGGTGGCTGGAGTTCACAGTGGTTCATGGCAGTGGCAGTGGTGACGGGTGGTGACTAGGGTTAGGTTAGATTTGAAGGAGTTAAGGGTATTTTTGACAAGAAAGGATGCGTATTGAGTAAAACTTGATATTTGAAAATCATTAAATGTGTGTTTTGAGAAGAGATGTGCACTGAGAGGGTTTAGTGTATAGAAATAGAATTACTTGGGTACAAGGCATTAGATCCAAGGAAAAATTTTATTTAGTGATAAAGACATTTGTTGGTTAAAAGTCCATTAACACCTATCTGTTGAAATTTTTATATATAACCTATCTGTTCAACAAATCTATCTATTGAAATTATTTTAATATTTTTAATCTATCTATTGAAAGTCACCAAGTCTATTTCCACTATCTGTTGAAATTCACCGAGTCTATTTTTCCTATTTGAAATTTACCAAGCTTATTTCCCCTAACTATTGAAATTCAAAAATCTCACACACACACACACACACACACACACATATATTGTTACGACTTGAACCCGCCCCTTAGAGGTCAAGGTCATGACCGACCAGTAATCATAGATTACCTACGGCCTCAAAAACAAATCAATAAATAAATAATAACGGGGCTTAGCGGAAGCAATTGACATTAATAAAAAAAAATCCATTGAGCCGTACTTATATGTTGAACTTTATAAGAAACTTAAAACTCATTCCATAATAATATTCACAATAAACTTTAACTTCAACTTCAACTTCAACTTCAACTTCATACATATAAAAATGTTGTTCATATAACAAAAACAAAATGACTAAACAAAGGGTTTGACAAAAGCTTGACTCCGCTAGAGACCAAGCAATGCCCTATCACGGAGGCACTTCAAGATCAACTTCACAAAAGAGGATGGACTTCCAAAGCAACTCTATGTCTGATCCTTCAAATGCTCCTCTACATATATATAAGGGAGAGGGATGAGTTAAAGTCCAATGAGTAACATCAATATAAAGGGTTGATGAATGAAGTCCAATATCTCATAAAATATATCTTTCAATTATCAAAAACAATTCATATATTCAATCATATCAATCCTTTGTGTTAACAATATTCATTTAAAACATTATATGTAGTACATCCAATAGAGTAACATTATATCAATATCCCGAAGCCAATAAGACCATTAAAGTCAATTCAATAAGACCATATAGGTCAAACAATAGAACCACAACGGGTCAATCAATGTGGACCACTAGGGTCTAATATTAGAAATTTTTGTGTTTCAATTAATCCATGGGCCATGGTATTATGTCTCATAGGCAAGGGCTTCACTAAATGATGCCACAAATACATTTAAAAAAAAGGATCTTCATTCATTCATATAAAATAGCATTTCATAATATCATTCATATAACAATTTTCAAAATACATTTTGAATATATATTTATAGAGATTTACTCACAGTAGGCTTGAATGAATGTTAGGCTTTGGGTGACCAACCTACACAAAATACATGACCAATACACATGAAACACAATTTTCAAACAATCATTCTATCTTATTTCAATTCCTTAAATGAGTTTCTAGCTTATTCCTTCTTTATTGAAGATTAAACAATGCCTAAAAGAATGTGGAAGTGAAAATATGCACATGAAAATGTATTTCAAAAATTGCTGGGTGTTTACTTGAGCGCACCTTTGGTCGCTCGAGCAGTTTGGTCAGACTGCAAAAGTATTAGATGCTCGAAATCTAGGCTCGACGATCACTCGAGCCAAATGTAATAAAATCTGAGTTCGCTCGAGCGGACTATTGGTCACTATAGTGATGTGCAATGGTTTGCAAGATTACTGAAAGCTCTCACTGTGCGCTCGAGCAAAGAGGCTGAATTCTAGGTTTTCAAAATATAATTTTGAGTTTCAAAACATGATTCTTTTAAGTCAAAAGCTTGAATGGCTTGTACAAACACTTGAAAACACTTGGAAAAACATGATTACATAACCAATTTGAAATCAATAACTCAAAGCTTCATGAATTTAACAAAATTAAACTCAAAACCTCCATGTATGAGGAGTTCCAAACTTTTTTCTTCAAAATTCTCAAAATATGAACTTGGTCCTTTAAATTCATGAATTCAGACCTTCAAACTTCTCAAAATAAAAAATATAGATGCAAATTGACTTCAAATCCAACAAAGATGATAGAATTCATGCTCAAATAGTAAAACATGGCGGAATTATGCACGCATGTCCATTCTAAGCCAATTTTCATAATCTTAAGTTAATTCCTTCAAATTCCCTTTGTATCATCTTAATTCTTTCATGAATTCCTCTTCTAGGTGATTTGTCTACAAGAATTAAGGATCAAATACATACCTAAATCTTGATTTGAAGAGTTCTAGCACATATCTTTGAGTTCTACAAATCCCTTACAAACTACAAGCTTGAGCCTACTTTCTCACTAGGATTAGTTTTCCTCTCTTCCTCTAAAAAATTCCAGCACAAATGTTGTATAGAAAATGAGCTCCCCTAGTCTTATATACATAGGATTAGCTTAGATTAATTAAGTATGCTTAGGGTTAATTAATCTAACTTGAATCTAATTAATTATTTCTAGTTAATTTTAATCTGAATCAAGTTTTTAATTAAATACCCAAAAGGTTCTAAATATTCAAATTAGCCTATTAAACTTATCAATTTCGGTTTCTGAATTCATTAAGGCCTTCAATTTCTGATTCCAAACAGGTATTCTAACAAATTTTCCATAATTCAGATAGATATAAACAAATCAAACTCATAACACACATTTAAACATTCAAATTTGACATAAGAATATAAATGTGACAATGATATGCATGTTGGGGTCGTCACATATATATAAAGAGAGGTTCAACAGATTCATCTTCTTTGGTAAACAAAAAAAAGAAAGAAAGAAAAAAAAGAAATGAGTAGTTACTAATCTCTTGATCCAAAACAAAGGAAAACTTGAGCAAAGTAATAAATCATAAACATATTTGAAACAACAAATTCATGAATGAAGCAATAATGCCTCACAAATCAATTTTGACAACAAATTTTTTTTAAAAAAATATTTGAAGACATCAGCTTGTTCAAATCCTTCATAGAACACCCCATGGAAGCTAAACGTATTCTCTTCTTGCGTCTTATCCTACATTTCATCAATATATGCACATATAAAGTATATGCATGTATACATATAGAGCATAAATCTAAGAGAGAACCTTGAAGATGAAAGTTTCGAGATCTAAGCTTCAAATGTAGGTTCTATTGCCATGATTGATTCTCTCTTTGGAACTCCGAGGTCTAAATCGCGCACACAGAGAGAGAGAGAGATA